GTTTACCATATTTTAAGATGTACATAGAATGGAAAAAGAAGAGAAACTCAGTGAGAAACTGACAATTCAGTCCGAACTTAGGCAGACTTTGGCATATTGCATGAAAACCCAGGATCTCCCTTTGCTATAATACAGATTCCCAATATCCAAATATATATAATATATATACCAATGCCAGGGTTTCTGTTTGCTGTAATACACAGCCTATGCTGACCAGTAACCCGTCAGCCCCCCCAACCTCCCCAACTAAGTGTGAATTCTGTAATTCTTGCTAACAACACATCAACTGTGAACTACATTGCTCAAAGATTTTATAAGGAATAACCTGTAAGTATAAAATCAAATTTAGATGTATCTCCCTTGTGCAGAAAGCATATTAAATATTAATTTGAAAAATAGAAGCAGGATATAGAGAACTTACAAGTATTTGAGTAGAAAGCAAAAGGAAGCACAGAAAGGTATCACTTAAGTTGGCATAATACAGAGACATTTTGAACAGAAATAAAAGGTTAAATGGAAAAAGAATACAGACTCACAGTACAGATCTAAATGTTTTAAGTCTTCTAATGTTTTCACTATGAATGGAAAAAGCAATCTGGACTATTTCTGTATAATATTAGAGTGAGTAGGTGAAGGTATTCCTTAAAAGTACCTTTGCTACTAAAGATCTCTCAATATTTAATTTACTGCCCAGGATTCTGCTGACCTGGTGACAGTATGAAGAGGGGACAGATTCATTTTCCATAACTGACTGTTAGTTCAGTAAAGGATTTGTTCTGTGGATTTTGATATATGCTAAAGGGACAAAAAAATAAGATATGCATTTACATAGAGTCATATATACCCAAAATCTTCATTACTGCTTTAGCTAGTGCCTAGCAGGAAAACCCATTAAGGATTTCTGAAATACGAACTGCTGAATATTTTTCAGTTCTTGAACAACATATATTAGTACTGTTTGCAAAGCATTTTTAAGTATTTTTTTCCTGCCTGCTAACAGTAATCCCTCGGGATTTTTTTTTTTAAATAGCACAAACTTTGAAGTCAAAAATATTGGTAGAAGCCTAAAGCAAGTTTAGAGAGAGGTCTGTCTTGATTCATAGTACTAGTACCCAGTTGGTATATATTTAAGAATGACAGTGCTGTCTTTCAGTACTGCTGCCCACAATACTTGGAAATATATCCTTTCAGTATGCAAAGACATATCCTCTGCGAAGCACCCAGATAAATCAGTTCACCCTTGGCTGTAACTAAACGCTGTCTAGTGACTTGTGATCGACAGGGCTTTACCCTCTGACAGCCAGATTCATTGTTGGGACAGCAACCAATCGTCGGGTTTGACGACATGAGCCTAATCAAAGTTGGAGTATAAAAAGCCCCCTTGGAATATATAAGGTACACCAGTGTGGCAAGCTGTCTCTCAGATCGCATTTGCTTTCACGGATCTGTTTAGTACTAAAAAGAAAAGGGAAAGGGGGAGGGGGGGAAAAAAAAAAGGAAAAAAGCTGCACTGAATGTGAGATCATGCAAAAGCTAGTGATCTATGTTTATATTTACCTGTTCATGCTGATTTCAGTCGATCCGGTGGCTCTTGATGACGGTAATCAGCCCACAGAGAACGCTGAAAAAGATGGACTGTGCAATGCTTGTACGTGGAGACAGAATACAAAATCTTCCAGAATAGAAGCCATAAAAATTCAAATCCTCAGCAAACTGCGTCTGGAACAAGCGCCTAACATTAGCAGGGATGTTATTAAACAACTTTTACCCAAAGCTCCTCCGCTACAGGAACTGATTGATCAATATGACGTCCAGAGAGACGACAGTAGCGATGGCTCTTTGGAAGACGATGACTATCATGCCACCACCGAAACAATTATCACGATGCCTACAGAGTGTAAGTAACCCTGCTGCTTTTGCCTCCCACCGCTCCTCCGAGAGAGATGTCTCCCTGCTGTAGAGCCACGCAACTCCTCCTCGGGCTCTCCCAACAGGCTGCTGGCTGAAGTCTGCGAGAGGGAGGGAGGCAGGAGAGCGTTATTTCTAAAGAATTTGAGCCAGGTTCAGATGACCGTGTTGCGATCCTTTGTTTTACTGTTCGGTTTTCGGCTCCTTATAACGTGTATGCCCTGTAGCACTTAGGATTTGCCCATTGCCTCAGAAAGCAAAGGGAGATCTGCAGCTTAGTTGACTTCGTTATCTGCACTACTCGGGGCACTTTCTATCACAAATATAACGTACAAGTGCAGAGAATGAGATAACTGTGTTATTCTGAGGAAGGTTTCACTGGCCAGTGTTTTTAGAAGCAACAGAAATCAGCAGAGATACAGTTTAGAGCACTGGACCTACCTAACTGCAACGTGTTACAGCTAGTGCAAGTATAGAGTTAAATTCTTGCCTCTTTGCTGATCCCATAAACTAGCACCACCCATCTCTGAGTTAAAACTATATATTTAAAGCAAATATGTGCGTAACAGATTTAAATGCTAAAATGTCCACGCTACAGCAATCAGCCCCAGTAGTCATGCCAAGGAAGAATGAAGGCATTTACTGAATGAGCAGATTCTGAGTTATCTTCTGAGTGCTAAACATCTGCTATGGCTCCTATCAAGTATCTTTTGCACGGCTAATAGGATAGTATCTTATGTTCTTCATCAGCTAAAGTATTTGGCTATGGCAGCTGTTTTTTTAAATAACACGAATATGATGTCAAAAAGGAAAAAGATGACAGAACATATAAGGCATGTTAGCAGTTACAGATATCGTTACAATACATACACTAGAATAATATATCAGCTGCTCTAGCCAGCTAAAAATGTATGTACGCATCAATGAAAAAGTAACTCCGCCTGTAAAATTTTTTAACTTAATTAATGTGTACTTAATAGCAGTATATTGCTGCAGCCTTATCACAGTCAAAGTCTGCCAGCAGTTTTCTTCCAGCCTGTTATGTCCAAGGCTTTGTAACAATTTTTAATTAAACTGTTATATAATTACAATGACTGAAGAAAAGTCGTTGCACTTCATTGATCTGAGTTCACCTCCTACTTTTTATAAAAAGCCCTTGAACTATTTTAAATGCAGTAAAGAGACAGGTATCTTAAGTGGTGAGATTTATGAATGTCAAAGCCCTGCACCATGCACCGTTTAAGATTAGTATTACCCATTTTATCCTGGCACGGAAGGAGATTGTCATGAGTAGGTATGACAGCTGCATCATAGGCTACAAGAAGGAGGAACGCTGCCCTGCACATGACTTTCCTATAATATTGTTCAAACGAAAAGAAAACAAAATGTTCCTTAGATTAATACTCTTTTAGTTACTTGTTTTTCCATGCAGAAAAGAAATTAGAGCGTTCAAGGGGTTTGCCCATGGCTGTGTCTGTCTGTATGACGTGTAGCACAGTAAGGCTATTTAGTAAATTAGAAATAGCTGGATCACCACATATGGGTTGAGTCAGCTTATGCAAAGTGGCTATTCTGCATGCTTTATGATGATCCTCAGGAGATCACTAGCAGAAGCGAGTTGGTAGTAGTCACTGTGAAGTGGAATAGGCTGTGCCCTCTCCCCAGGTAGTTTTTGTTTGGGAAAGAGGCTTTTTTGCAGCTGTACAGGTCAGCCCACAGCACTGGTGCCACTGGTCAGAGCCCCAAGGACCGCAAAGGTCCTCCATAGTACGCATCTTCTCATGAGTGCCCATCGTTTCCGAGTTTCAGCCTGAGCACACCTCTGCTGTGCTCAGCCTACAGAGCACAAGGCAACAACCAGAGTTATTTAGAAAATGATGAGCCAAACCTCATTTTAGCCTGTTTACAAAACAATCATCAGTTCCTTGTCACATGATGTTACTTTTAGGCGACAGCATGATTTTGGTGACATCCATTAAATTTGCTGTAGAGCATAAACCACAGAAAATTAAGTTAAATCCCCTTTGTTACTTATCCTGTTTATATCATATAATAAGACTTCCTACACGGTCTAGGGAAAAAGAAAATTAAAAAAAAATAAAATCAGGTTTATATATGCATATTTCTTTTTGTTCCCTGTTCAGTAATCTGTTGTTTCCATTTATTTATAGCTGATTTTCTTGTACAAATGGAGGGAAAGCCAAAATGTTGCTTCTTCAAGTTTAGCTCTAAAATACAATATAACAAAGTAGTAAAGGCACAATTGTGGATATACTTGAGGCAAGTCCAAAAACCTACAACAGTGTTTGTGCAGATCCTGAGACTTATTAAACCCATGAAGGACGGTACAAGATACACTGGAATTCGATCTTTGAAACTTGACATGAACCCAGGCACTGGTATTTGGCAGAGTATTGATGTGAAGACAGTGTTGCAAAATTGGCTCAAACAGCCTGAATCCAATTTAGGCATCGAAATAAAAGCTTTCGATGAGAATGGACGGGATCTTGCTGTAACTTTCCCAGGACCAGATGAAGATGGATTGGTAAGTTTATTTAGAAAAATCCCATTTAAATATCTTGCATTTTATTGAAAAGCATTTTGGTTGTGTTTGAACGATAAAAAGGAACATTGCTTAGGGAATGGAAGATACAAGTTCTGTATAGCCAAATTCTTTCTTTCTTTGCTTTCTGATTGTGTCAAAATAATTCCTGTGCCTCCCTTTCCCTGCTTGAAAAATTGAGACAAATTGCAGCACTTCAGAGGGATGTTGAGAGGCATTAACTAGAAAATTTTTGGTAATTACTGATGGATAGTGCTATCAAAGTAATGTTTTCAAATTTGAGGGCAAATACTGCTTAATAAGCAGTTATTTTACATAAAGTTAAAAGAACAGTTGTTAGATTCTTACACTAATAGGAAAGCTGCCTCTGATACTGCTGAGAAAGTGAGGGGGTTTCTCCCTACCCAGTATCCCTATATCTTCTATTAAAAACAGCAATAATTACCTGTTTCTGAAGGTGAGAATAGATCTTCTTCATAAGGTTAATCTGTGTACCTCTCAGCATGTGACAGAGTGCACCATTCTATCTATTAGAACTGTTTGAACAGAGAAGTTCTGCTTGATAAAATAAATGGTTCATAATGATAAGAAGGAGCATAAAATAACTCTCTGGTTTCTTTTTGTGAGTATAGATGGACAAATTAAACCTGAAGCGTACCAGTTAAACTACAGCATTTTCCTTGTTATTTATTTCTGCAAATCTTGAATTATCTACAACCTATAAAAATTCCTGAATCTATCACAGCTGAAACAATCACAACCAAGAAATCCCTCCTTTTCAATAAAATATAAAGAATATTATTTTACTTTTAATTCTATGCAGTAGATCAATCTGTTTATTATAGAATCATTTAGGTTGGAAAAGATCTTTGAGATTATCAAGTCCAACCGTATTTATGTAGCTATGTAACATTCAACAACGCAGTTAAAAGAACTTAAAGGAAAAACGCTGTGATATCTTAATTGCAGATCCAGTAGAGATGTGGATCTCCCATACTTGAAACAGGCCAGCTGGATATCATGATAAGGAACGTCCTCAGCACCTCCACCCACTCAAATACCCAGCGCTGTGTTTTCACACATGTGGATAACCCATGTTTATCATCATGTGTAAAAACAAACTGATTCAGCAGCAGGGCAGGGTTAGATGCACAGCTGAAAACAGGAGAGGAAATTTCTCTCCTCTTCCCTCTGGCTCCTCTCCGGCAGCTCTCGGTACAGGGATGCTCCTCTCACCAAGCCCCTCTCCATATCATTTACCTTTAGGAGGAGCATCTCCAGCAGCTGGACAACTTGCAGCCATAAAGGCGGGTATTTTGGAAGGGACAAACTCACATAACAAAGTTATCTGGGCTGTTATTTACTCCTAAGGAACAGTCTTCCCTTCATGAGATAGCCTGGTCAGCGCCAAATCAACACATGGGGCTGAAACCAGTGCGTGGAAGGGAGGAAACTTTGGAACTTCTTTAAACTTCTAATTGTAAAGGTTGCAATTTCCTTCTATTCTCAGTTGGTGACTGAGACACCTCTGGTAGGAGGAACATGGTTCGGAGGCCTGCCAAAAGTACATTTCTGGCCACGGGGCTCTTTTGGGAGTCAAAAATATTAGCTGCCCATACAAATTCAGTGTGACAAATTCAGCCCTCTGGCAGAAGGGAAATCTGTGAAGTGCAAGTAACTTGTCCCAGTAGGTGAAACACTCATTTCTACTGCCATTGCAGTCATTCAAAAACAATAGCAATTACAGAGCAAATTTTGTCCTCCTTGGTCTGGACCAGAAGCCTTCCTTGATATCCAAAAAGCCTGAACTGAATATGATTTTAATGGAGGGAATTTCAGAAGGACTCACAAAAAGGAGACAAACACCAGTCACTCCTGCCCTTTAAAAATTTTTTGAGTTCTTCTATGGGGAGAAAAAGTAGTTCTTATTATGGGGTTTAAAGTGAGCAAACAAAGCCCACAGCAAAAGTAAAAATCCAGCATCCTCAAAATTTCTGAAACGTTCTTTTAGCAGTTAACAGAAATGGTGCTAGCACTGAGATGACAGTGATTTCAGGAAATGCTGGCTCTCAGAATGAAAAAGAGGAATAATCCTTGAGCAGAGATCAAACGCAGCAGAGATCTGGAGGAGGACAAAGTTGTCCAAAGGTGTAACTTCAGAAACATTTGCAAATACCGCATTTAATATATTCTATTATTTGAGAAGATTGACTTGATACAATAAATCTATGTTTGAAATATTCCATATTTGCATGGTTTTACTGAACTTAGGCTTACCTCAGTAATGCTTCTGATTCCTTCTCCTCTCCCTACAGAACCCATTTTTAGAGGTCAGAGTTACAGACACACCAAAACGGTCCCGCCGAGATTTTGGCCTCGACTGTGACGAGCACTCGACAGAATCCCGCTGCTGCAAAACCCGCTGACAGTGGATTTTGAAGCTTTCGGATGGGACTGGATTATCGCTCCCAAAAGATACAAAGCCAATTACTGCTCTGGAGAATGCGAATTTGTATTTTTACAAAAATACCCACACACTCACCTCG